TTTTTCTTTTCAATTTCATTGCCCATTGTATTGTATTCTATACTTCACATGCTTGTCTACCTCATTCTGACATATTTGTGCTGTAACAAGTTCCCCAATGTGGTATAAAGTTTGTCCTGTCCACAGTAAACCACAGTGTTTACCTTGTTGTCTGGCCCTGTTGAAAACCTTGATGTCTTTTAGCTGTACCCCAATACCAGTCCTCAGAGATACAGACTCTGTGGCATTGTCCTTGTTGCCTCTCTTTATGGAGCCATTAGCATGTGTCCTTCAAAGCACACAGACAAACAGCATTAAACAGTGGCTGATGCTTGCAAATAGTACAGATGAATAATATAAATATTACAAATGATATCAGACGAATATCAATAAGTGAGGACCATTACGAGAGACTTGTGGGGGGTATACATGTATCTGACCTGTCACTCCAGTAAATGTAGCTCTCAAACACCGACACAGAGAACATGTCCATGTTGTTGTTGGCCAGCACCACTTCCCTGTTTTCTCCTGTTTCAAGGTTGATTCGCTCAATCTTGTCGGTCCTGGCATCGCACCAGTACAGCAGACTCTCCTACGTGCACACACACACACACACACACACACACACACACAGTAATGTTGCGATGTAAAGTTCACTCTCTGCATTTTAAAGCAGTGATAAAGAAGCTAAAACGATCTGCAATGCTTTACCTTATAGTCGATGGAGATACCGTTGGGCCAGCTGATACTGGCATTGACCAGAACGGCCCTCTGAGAACCATCCAGACGAGACCGCTCGATACGTGGATACTGACCCCACTCTGTCCAGAACAAGTAGCTGCAAACATAAACACGGCGATCATGAATCGATAAGGAGAGAAACTGCTGGAACAGGAGCTAACGACAGCTAGGATGGTAATTGGAGCTACAGCTGATGCCTCTCACCCTTTCTCTGGGTGGACGGTGATGGCACGAGGCTTGTCGAGGCCCTGGGAGATCACCACGTAGCGGAAGGAGCCGTTCAATCTGGCAACCTCGATCACATCAAACCCTTGGTCTGTCCAGTAGATGTTTCCTGTGAAGGAGGAAGCAATGATGCTCGGGCTGATGAGCAGATTCGCTGATGCAGAAATGAACCTTGTCTGATCTTGTTTTTTCTCCTCTCTTAGTGCTATAGGTTCAGCTTGCTTTCAAGTGATCTCATTTTTCCTCTTCTAGTGCATTATAAAAGACTGTCTTTACTGCGTGTCTCACCTGCTATCCAGTCAACAGCGATGCCTTCTACTCTGCCAATGCCATTAGTTACCACATCCTCTCTCCAGGTCTGGTCTCTCTTGGCCCTGCTGATGGTGCTCAGGCCCATATCCACCCAGTAGATAGTGTCATTATCTGGAAAAAACGATAACAATATAATATCACACATTAAAGAGATATGTACCTTCATGCATGAGAATTTATTTTGTATCTAATGTAGCAGGTTGGAAAGAGTCTTACCAGCATGGAAATCTATGCCGACAGCTAAGGAAGTGCCTGACACCGGTACGAGGGCATCAGACTTGTCAGATGGGTCCAGAGGAATACCACGTATGCCCTCATGCACAGAGTACAACAAGAAAGATCCAACTCCTGCCCCAAATAAACAATCCCCCCCCAGGTTTTAGACTTCCTAAAGTTTGTTCTGCATCACACATTTATCTTTTTCATCAGTTTCTTCAACCCAAAACAGGCTCAATTAAGAATACAGTATGTATATGAGTGTGCCGTACCCTCACAAGACTGCTGTCCCCTGCGCAGGCTGTATCCTGCTGTGCACATGCAGGCTCTGGTGGTCAGGGAGGTGGGGAGACACAGCTGGGAACAGTCTCCATTGTTAATACTGCAAAGATTAGTGCCTGGGAACATAAAAGCACAAACCAAATCATAGAGGAGTTGCATAAACAGATATATTTAGCACAGATACCATGCAACAAGCAAAACAGACTTTTAATAAGACAGGGTCATTTTTTCCTGCAGTAATTTAACCAAAATAAAAGTTCTTTAAGCTCAGAAAAGGCGGGCACATGTTCCAGCACCTTTCTGCACAGTTTCATTGTAGATTTTCATGTGCATCATGGGGGATGTGCTGTTCCTCAGGATTTTCCAGTTTCCACCATCATTCTTGTCACAGGTTCCTATCTGGTCTGTTCCTTGATCCGCCCACCACAACTTCTCTCCTGGGGGACACAACACACGATTGGATGATCAACACTTCAGTGGAACCTGATGTCACTCTAGAGGGACACTCAGAAGCCGCACCAAATTGCACACACTCATAATGATCAGTCCACTAAAACTGCCAGATTTATTCCCTAGAAAATTGGTGAAAAGGGCACTTGGAGAGCTCATGAGGTGACTCGAAGAAAACATTACCTTGGAGCAACATTTAAAGACAGAAACATAAATCTGCAACATGGTTAAGTTATTATACGTCATGGCTGAACTCTCTGCCTTCATCAGGAGCTGAAATTAACATTTTCAGGAGACGTACCCATGATGGCCAGAGCGGTGGCCTTGGTCAGCTTCCCCTTGACACCGTCCAGCACCTCCAGTCCTGAGCCATCCAGTTTGCAGCGGTTGATGGTGCTGTTTCCTGAGCTGATCCAGTAAAGCTGCTCCGTGTCGAAGTCGATGGAGAGACCTGGGGAAACACAATACAGCTCTCATGTGTAATGATGGGCCCTGTCACTAGGGAGCGCTGTGTCTAACGCTGTCACACAGGAAAAGCGCAGCTCGTCACTCACCGACAGGGCCCTTCTGATTGGTGAAGAGGACGCTCCGGTTGCCGCCGTCTGTGTTGGCCATGCTGATGTTGTCTCCATCTGTCCAGTAGAGTTTCCTGGGGGAGGCAGACACAGAGAATCAGCAAAAATCACAGTAGACATAAGAGAGAGAGAGAACTCTTGATTTATTTTCAGCACTTCACATTCTGCCTCAGCGACTGAGCATAATCGATAATGCCACCTGATAACACTCACAAACCCCTTAGCACAAAACTAATTTCTCAAAGTTTGGTAATATTGGAGTGTCTTTTTTTAATGATCTGAGGAAATCAATTTGTTGCCTGAACTTTCTTTATCATAACTTTTATAGTCAAGATTTGACATGTGTGTTTTCTCTCTTGAAAAATAAGTCTATGTAATGAAGATAAATAATTACTCATGATAGTAAAATAAAAAAAACACTGAAAATCAAGCACAACTATTTATTGTGATCTCAATGTTTTCAAATTGTGCAATACATCGATCAGCCACAGCATTAAATCCATCTTTATCAGTTTAAGGCTGAAAACCTCATTCAGCGCGCGTGTGTGTGCATGCGGGTGTGTGTTTGCGTGTGTGTTCAATTGAGGCGCTAAAAAATGTTGTCTCTGACTCATCGTCCCATTGCTGACTCCCTCACTCTCCCACACCATAAACACTCTCATATAAACACCTTCCTTTTGCCTTCAAGTTCTTTGCTCCTAAAACTGGTCAAAGTCCACACACACACACACACACACACACACACACAACCACACACACACACACACACACACACACACACACACACACACACACACACACACACACACACGCGTAAAAAAAGGACAATATGACTGAGTGTCTTAAGAAAATGTGCAGTCTATGTTTAAAGGGTATCTATCCTCTGGCCCCTTCACCCACTTCCTGTTGAATATCACCACATCCACCACACCCTCCATTTGTTTGTTAACATGCCTTTAAATAAAGTTTTTGAATCATTAAACTCCCACACTGTCGTATTTTAGTGCATGCACACTCACAGTTGCACACACACAAGCTAAAGTTTGAGTTTCTCTCTCCTCGACTGCCTCTGCCCCCACCCACTCGTGAGCATATTCTGGGCAATGTGTATGTATGTGTGTGTGTGTGTGTGTGTGTGTGTGTGTGTGTGTGTGTGTGTGTGTTTGTATGGATCTAGCATCTGCTTCTCATTTTCCCCCATGCCAACAACGCTCAGATCAGAAACATTCCTTTGCGTAAATCGGCTAAGTCTTTTACAGAGAGGAAGGAATACACAGAAAAAACACAAGACAGCAAAAACATTTCTTAAGAAAATATCCTTCCTTCATCCACCTTAAATACTCAAAGCAAGCGTAGTCTCACAGGACAACACAGAAATCTATAAATAAAGATACAGATGGTGTGCGTCTCGAGTAAGAGGGGAGAAGGGCTGAGGCCAGGTCGGAGAGCTGAAGGGGCTGAGGTTTCAAGAGGGAGGACAGAAAAGAAAAAATGGACATTTGTTGAACAAGGCAGGAGGGGACAGGATGGAAGGTACACATTAAAGCAGAAATAGCGACAGAACGTGACATCAGCTCTAAATAATTCATAGGTTCTAGCCGAGCACAGGAGCTGTCTTTAAAATTAGAAATGGAGCAAAAGGGAGGAAGAGAGAGACTCTGGAGAAAGATGAAACAGGGGGAGGAAAAATTAGAAGGACTTCCTGAGAGAAGAACAGTCAGAGGTCAGAGACCATTTATACCAAACGCCTCTGCCTGTCGTCGCTGACTGCAAACAGAGGGGGGGCTGACAGCCAGACACTGCCTCAGTGTGTACGACTGTGTGTGTGTGTGTGTGTGTTTGTGTGTGCGCACACTTAGGTTAAAGGTGAAATCAGGAGGGTGTCTGAGAGCAACAACATCATTTTGACTGAGTGTCACAGCTTAATGGAGTGTGTGTGAGTGTGTGTGTGCTCATTTTTGTTACCTCTTAGGGCCTTTTCAAGTCTAAACACAGGACCAGTAGACCTCATGGGGACCAAATGTTGGTCCTAATGAGTCAAAACTTCATTTCTGGGCTCCTGGTTAAGGTAAGTGGTGGAATTGTGGTTAGGTAAAGGTTAGACATGAATTGCTCATGGTAAAGTTAAGAGTTTGCCTCAGGTAAACTCATACTTTCTGCCTTTGCCAGTCCTCTGGGATCTGTTACAGATCTCTTGACGTAAATGTCGTTATCCACCAATGTCCACATGGACTGACCTATATGTGGACATCTGTGTGAAGCTCAACATTTGTAACCATGCTGACTGTATGTGTTGACTACACAAGCTCCTTTTACAATACACTCAATTTCTGGGATGGAATGTGGGATTGGGTACATGTGTGGAACACCAGACCAATGCAAACCATTTACACTCAATTTAGTGTAAATGGTACCATGAGAATGCACATGTGACTGGAACAAGAGTGCAATCTGAGCAGACACAGGATCGAGCCCTTTGGAGGTCCGCAATGGTAAATGGTCTGTATGTACTTGGAGCTTTTCTAGTCTTAATGGCTTTAAAGCACTTTACAGCACATTTCCACCATTCACACACATTCAGTGCATCCATGTGCAGAACCTTCTCTTTATACATTACTCATCCACTGCCAGCACAGCTGTCAGGAGCACCTCAGTTACTTGCCCAAGAAGACTTCAGCATTTGAAATGGAGATCGAACTGCCGACCCTCTGGTTAGAGGACGACCCGCTCTTTCTCTGGAGGCACAGCTGCCCCCAAAGAAAGTCAATATAACGTCCTAATAAGGATAGCTGAGCCGACCTGTGTGTGTGTGTGTGTGTGTGTGTGAGTGTGTATATAACCCACCCCAGTATTGGATGCAGCACCAGGCAGTGTGGTTTGTCCAGGCCTTGGATGACAGCATTTTTAAAGGAGCCGTCTAATCTGGCGACGTTGATCTGCCTCTTATTGGCGTCGTAGCTGGTCCAGAACAGGTTCCTGGACACCCAGTCCACTGCGAGACCGTGTGCATTGGGCAGATCTGAACAACACAGAGTCATTAATCAGCCTTCACAGTCGTATTATCTGTCAGAATGAAAAATCAAAAAAGTCTTTGGCCTCTTTGTCAAATTCATAAATCAGAGAGAAAAAGGTGAAGAACTGCAGCAAAAGACATTTTCACCCTTCACTGACCCCCCCCCCTTTTTTTTTTTCACTGTTGCTAAGCATGTTCAGATTTTCACTGAAGCACATCAGCTTACTGTGAAAACTGTGGCAGATTTTATACTCAAAAATTCAAGTAATATTTGAAACAGTGGTTTGCTGATTTCACACAGCGGTGGACAAAGACAGGCTTTATCTGCTTTTTAATTAAGATAAACTCTATAATTTGATTGACTCAGGTGACTTTTCTAAAGGAAATTCATAAAAGAATAATGTAAAATTGACTCAAATATGAATTTCCGTCAATTTCTTTGTTTTTCACAGCATTACTCTGACAAAGGCTTAATGAGCACTTTGGCAAGTGCCGGAGCTCTGACTGGATAATTGCTCTTCAGAAAAGGCCTTACTGAACAATAAATTGTAACTTTCTATACAAATATAGATTTGTATATAGATTGATTTATATAAACTCCATTTATTATTAATTCCACATCTGTTTTGAGTCTCTACTGGCAGGAATACTTTCTGAAAGCTCCTTATTGCAAGATGAGACTGTTGGAATGAAAAGTGTCTTCATGTGTATGAATATATGAACATACCCCTCATGAAATTTCACATTTAAAATCACTAGATCTAGATTTTCATTTGGCTCTCCACTACATTGCACACACTCATAAATATCAGTCCCCTAAACATGTCAGATTTTTTTTTAATCAAGCTCCATAAATTAGTTTCTGAGAAATCAATGAAAATGTTGAAAAATGCCCAGAAATCTCCCAATGTAAAAGAAAGTAAATAAATATCCTGGATGTGCTTTCTGATCCGCAACAAAATGTGATGGGTTCGTTCCCATACCCCATCCTTACACCAAGTTTCATTAAAATCTGACCAGTAGTTTTTGCGTGATGCAGACAACAGACAAAAACATAAACTTGTTGGCAGAGGTATATCTATAAAGACTGAAAACAAAAAGTTATGTCTGCATTCTGCGAGGTTAACTTGTCCGTACCAGCAGAGACCACAGTCTCAACTCCAGTGCCGTTAATGAAAGCTCTCTTGATGGTCTGAGTGCGGACATCGGACCAGTAGATGCGGTGCTCCAGAGCATCGTAGTCCACCACTGTCACGTTGTCAATGTCTGGCACAGTGAAGGAGATAATGTAGTTGTAGTATGGGTTGTCGATGTCCACTCCTCTGATCTCGATCTGGCGGGCGTAAAGCAGGAACTGACGAGACTCTGCAGAGGGGAGGGGAAAAGATATTGACTTGCATCCTTCAGTAAATCTCCAAAGCTTCAGCACTAAACGAGTGCAATCAAGAGTTAAACGCAGCTTCAAGTCAAGAGTCAAATACAGTTGTACAAACAGTTAATCCAATTGCATCTCTGACTCGGACGATTGCGTCTGGCTGGGTAACTCTGCGCTGCAGCCGTGACAGCAGAGTGCATTCAGTCAGTGCAGATACATTGCACAGCTGGATTGGTCTCAACAGACCTATCAACATTAAACTGTGTGCAGCTTAAGTGATAGACAGGAAAAGTGGGGGAGGAAAAGAAAGGGAGACGGGGAGAGTAATGACGGTGTCAGGCTGCATCGGTCGGACCAAGCGAGGTGGGCGATGTGGAAGGTTGTGGCCGATACCTGCATCAGACAGAATGGGGCTCTCCATTCCATTACCCCTGAAGATAATAGAAAGTGCTGCCCTGAATACTAAACTCACACGCTGAATAAACAGGCCCGCTGTCCCTTTTCACACACAGACACAGCGAAAAAAAGTCCAGATTGTTTAATCCTCTCTCTCTCACTTGCACACATATTAACACACATAAACAAAATGCACAGTAAACAATTCTGCAAGGACAGGGATTACAATGGCATTCAACAAGAGTCTTACCCAGACAAGCAGCTCAAAGGGCTCAGAGAGGAATCAAAGTATGTTGTCTACAGGCGCTGCATTTAATTACACAATTTAATACATGTGTGTGCGTTCATGTTTACCATAGCATGTGCGCTTGTCAGGGCCCAGTTTCATGAGGTGAGGGCAGGAGCACGAGAACGTCTGGTTGTAGTTGATGAGACAGAGATGAGAGCACGGCTCCTTTCCATCTTTAGCTGCACACGGGTTGGGAGCTGGGGAGATGTGGGAATGAAACAATAACTCAGCATGTTTTTACACAAATTAAAAAAGACATCTATTGCACTTCTATCCTTCCTGGGAGAGATACCTAACTTGCGACTCTCCCTGAGGTTTTTTGTTGTTGTTTGTTTTCCCTCATCTTAGTCGAGGGTTAAGGGCAGAGGACGTCTCACATTGTACAGGTTGTTAGTGCCTGGGACACACTGGGTGCGTGTGCAGCTGACGTGACGCGTAACGGCTGGATTGCTTCATCTCGCACACTTTGTTCTCCACACAGGGAGCGTGTCTGCTGCAGAGCTGCTACATATGGTTTCTGGTATGAGTGTTTTCCCTCAGATAAAAGTACGCCGATGTACTCAGCTCAATGCCAGGAATCTACAGTATGAAGCTGTACATCTTCTGGTCCAACAATACTAATAAGAACCTTGCTAAAAAATGGATTCAGTCAACAGAAACGCCAGAGTGCTTGTGACATATTCGACAGATTCTACACAATTTTTACTCAACTTTGCTGTGACAAGACCCTGAATCTCTGGAAGACACTAAAACTAAAAACCTAAAACTAAAACCTGATAATATAGGCGCCGAATGAAAAGGAAGATGTTCCGTGACGCTCAAGCAATCCGAGTGTAAGCCCTAAAAGGCAAATTTGATGCTTTAAACGAACACACTGGTTGCATTTTTCTGTACCAGTAATATTTCAGACTGCAGCCCCAGAGTATGTGTACGTCTGTGTTTCTCACCCTGAGGCTGTCGGGATGGATGGTAGACCTGGAGGTCAAAAGGTTGCGTGTTGGTTCTCTGCACTACTGTGACATTGCTCCCCGTCCACTTGTTGGCCTTGGCCAGTGTGTTGGTCCTCCAGTCTGTCCAGTAAACCTCTCCCCCGTACATGGTGACCGCGAAGGGGTGTGACAGATACTCGTGTCCCCTCAGAACCTCGATGAGCCCAGAACCATCGTATTTGGCTGAATAAATGGCATCAGATCTGCAAACATCACAATCCTCAGTTAGATTTCTGGGCATCACTAAAATATACTTTTAAGATGTTTGATTGTGTTCATGTGTCTCCTGTGTGACCTGGCATCGATCCAGAGGATTCGGCGCTCGAGATAATCCACAGTGAGTCCATTGGGCCAGCCTCCATTACCAGTCTCCTTATGGATGGTCTTCCTGCCTTCTCCACTCATGGACGCAGCTTCAATCCGTGGCAGGCTGGCGTCCCAGTCTGTCCAGAAGAGGATCCTGCAACGCCACAACATGGAGTTATTCAAACATTAAGGTATAATAGTTGCAGCATGAGTGTGTAACCACAGGCCTATTTTTACTGCATCCAAACATTTAGCCTTTGAGATGCTGTTAATGAGTTTGGGCTGATATGAGCAGGAGATAAAATGAGCAGTGCGGTTGTTACCCGTCCCGAGGGTCAAGGGCTATAGCTCGAGGGTGCTCCACCTCCCCGGCCAGCAGTGTAGTCCTCATGGTGCCGTCCAGCTTGGCCACCTCTATCTGATCCAGGTTACTTTCCACCCAGTAAATGTTTCCTGCGATCCAGTCCACAGCCAGACCCTCGGGGGTTGCCAGTCCATACTGGATGACCACATCGAAGCTAGTGAGAGCTGAAAGGGAGGAGGAGGAAGAAGACAGGAGAGACAATCACTCTTCTGTATTATATATAGACATGTTGTCTTTCTTTTCTTTCTTTGCCTCTTTGCAATTCCTTTTTCTTTTTTTGCAATTCCCTCCCTCCTTCGAGCAATGCTATCTTTCTTTCTGTCTTTCTATCTTTGCAATTCCTTTCTTTCTTTCTTTTACAATTCCTCCCTCCCTCCCTCCCTCCCTTTCTTGGTTGTTTTTGTATCATCCCTCGTTATGTAAACCTGCTGGAGCTCAGATCTAATCACATTTCATTTTGCTCCTCAGTAAAATAAACATCCCTTCAGGCCACTTTAAGTTTCTTAATGAATCCACACAGTATTTAATGTATTATACAATGTATGAATAAAAGCTTCTAGGACTGGGATCTGCTGATGGCAGTGTTTCAGGTTTTACTGTGAGGCACTGATTCATTTGGCTTCAACATTTACAAATCATGTAGATGCAATCAAGTTATTTAGGTTCAAAGCTAAAATTGCATCACAAAGTGTAATTCCTTGACAATGACTCGATGCTATGTTTGGGAGACAACACACGTTAATGTAATAAGCAGAAACAGAAATAAACGCAGAAGTGGCAGAGCAGGGGTTTGATAACGCATTTCCTGAATGGGCCTCAGAGAATGTAAATGTGTGGTGTCCTGCAGGACTAAAGAAACGTCTTCAGTCCCTTTTCAAACCCTTTTATTCCCCTTTGTGTCTCTAATCAGTGGGACATGTCTAATTATTGCAAATGAGTCTGTAGCAATGAAATCACACACTTGCTATATGTAGCCTGTTGGCACCAATTACTAACTGTTACACACAACAACCACATACAGACATAGACACATGAATGCAACATGAGCATGTGAATATATGAACTCAGTTGCAAACACTCACCGCCGTTTTCCGACAGCTTCCCACGATAGATCTTATCCTCCACCACGTCGGTCCAATAGAGGGCGCTCTGGCTGAGATGGAAGTCAAGGGCGATGGTGTTTCTCAGGCCTGGTACCAACACGCTGAACTCTCCCTTATTCAGATCGATGCGGCGGATCTCGTGGCGGTTTGAGAAGATGATGAAGGGCTTGAAAGGATCTGCGGAAAAAGAAACGGAATGATCAGCGGCCATCTTGAAAAGTAGTACCAGGCAGATGAGTTAAAAGATGAGAATAATGCAAAACAGCTCTGCTGGAAAACGCTGCAGCCATGTTCCTGTGCAGTGTGTGAAAGAGGGCATGTGTTGAAAGAGGCTCTAATCCTGGGTAATTAAAACACAGTGTAAGTAAGACAGGAGTTATCTGCACCTAGCAGGCAGCCATGCAGGCAGCACGATGAATGACAGGGGTGCTGCTGGAGAGTCTCTAAGACCAGGCAGTGGAGAGCACAGTCATACACCCATGTTTCCTCATTGGCCAGCTGATGCATTAAGAACTATACTAATTATGTAAATGGATTTTAAATCAACTCATACATTATAATGGAATAATTGACATTATTTGAATAAATCAATGACAGATAATAATTTAAAACAGCATCCAGGTCTTTAGCATAACTGTGGCTTCTCCAATCCACACTGTTCCTGCTGCACAACCTCAAACCCATTTCTTGACTCTACAGTGACAACAAAGCAAAGACGCCCATCACATCTTCATTTCCTTCCCCATTGTGCAGCTACTTTCAGTCCCATAACTATGTTTTTTTTTCTATGCATTTATTTTTATTCATGAGCTTTATTCAACACCCTGCACTCACACACACTTGAGATTAGCTTTGTTCTGCTTGTGCTCAAACTGTGCGCTTACACTCAGATATTTGGTTGCGCTCCAACTTCAGCTCTCCTCTTGTGTGAAAACTCTGCTCTTGGATTTTTTTGGGGTCTGTCAATAGAATGCCAGATGTGAATTAAATTGTCCTGCCATTGTTACGTGTGTGTTAGCTTTACTTCTGAGTGGAAGCTGTTAATAATAAATCCATTGAGGGCAGGACTGCATGAACCTGGTTAAAGTGAACACCTGTATGGGACTTGTTTACTGAGACAAGTAAAACTCAGTGTGAGCACAAGGACAAGAGCTGAAACTGGAGCACAGCAAATCTGTCCAAGCAACAACATATTTGAGTGTAAGCGCACAGTTTGAGGACAAGCAGAGCAAATCTAAGCTCCAGCAGGGACTATTTGAGTGCGAGTGCAGTGTTTTGAGTGAAAGCATTACAAAATCTAAACATGAAATCAATAAGTCCTGTTCTTTAATTCAAGGACCTTTAATAATGAGGGGAAAAAAACATCATATCAAAGTTCAGCTTCTTCACTGGTCTCTTTTCACTCCCTGAACCCTTCGTCCAGATCATCCTCCCCTCCTCCACTGTTCCTCACCTGTGCTCTTGCAGTTCTCCATGTCAGGCTCCAGCTCCCAGCCTTCGTAACATGAGCACTTCACACTGAACTTGTCCTGTTCACAGCGTTGACTGCACTTCAAGTGTTTGGCACAGAAACTCTGGATCTGACAGGTCTTATTGTCGGAGCCTAACTCCATGCCGAGTGGACAGGAGCAGATCACACCCTCGCCAGGGGCCACTGTGCAGTTATGGCTGCAGTCCCCATTGTCCAGTGAACACAGGTCTGCAACACAGAGAAAATCAGAGGATGACTGATGCATGGAGCAGCTACAAAGACCTGTTATCAAACCAACCACCATCTGTTTTACTCAGCCTGGCTACTGTTGTGTCTCTTACCACAGAGTTTCTCATCAGAGCCATCTGGACAGTCGTCTTTACCATCACAAAGTTTCTCTGACGGCAGACAGATGGTGGAGTCGTTGGCACACACATGATGAGAGAGCTTACACACCAGCGCCTCACAATTGTCTTCGTCTGAGTTGTCCTCACAGTCACTGTCGCCGTCACACACCCAGGCTTTGCTGATGCAGCGTGCTACGGACATAAGGCAGGGCAACTTTAAAAACAAACAAAAACTAACTTTGTGTACCTCAGAACTTAGTTTGAAGAGTGGCCTCCTCACCAGAGTCCCTGCAGCCAAACTTGACAGCTGGATCACACATATGCGTGACCCCCTCGCAGTTCTTCTCGTCGCTCAGGTCCATGCAGTCTGTGTCACCATCGCAGCGCCAGCGAAGGGGGATGCACAGGCTGTCCATACGACACTGAAACTCGTCGGTATGACAACCACCAGGAGGACGTGTGGCTGTGAAGAGAAAATCAATATTAGACTCAAAAACGAGATTGTCTTCAGTCGTTGCCTGCATTAACCTATTCAGCACACACAGCCTTGAGCAGAGACGATGTGTCATATTTAAAAAAAGGACAATAAAAACGAATGAGAAATGTGTTTTGCAACACGTTTCAGTAGCAGATTCTAGGTCAATGTAGTTGTTTAAAACCCAGAGCTCATTCTGTTTTAACTGTTACTAGAAGGATAATTACGACTAGATAAAGAAAATATCATGTGTTGTTATGATATCAGTCACTTTAAATGACTCACTGTGTTACCCATTAGACTGGTGCCAGTGTGACTAATAGGTACGAGGGACCGATTACATCTGCTGACTGAAATGTAAACACAAGTTGTGATTTTAGCACAGAGCGTAAATCATGGAGTAAATTACAGGGTAGCGACTCAACCACCCACCCATGATAATAACAACCCCCCCACCACAGCTTTGAACCATAACTATTGAAAAAGCACCAATGGCAAATTGTTTGTGAATAGTGGTTAATAATTGGAGCTTTAGCTTTTATTTATGACTAGTTACTCAGAGTTATTCGTGTTGACCAGGGCCTCTTCCGGATTTGTCCAAGTGTGGGGTCAGGAGAAATGTATTATCATACATTCTTAGTGAGTTGAAGCTTAGAATTAATTGCAGTCAGTCCCATCAGCTGCAGCAGCTCATATCTCTACACAGAAACTATAACTACGGCCATGCATGTCTATATACAGATGTTAATACATACCGTTTTTTTTTTTTTCAGGTTCAAATCAAATTAACTCAATGTAGACTGCAGTCTGGTCTCAAATAACTGCTATTGAAACAAGTCTTTTCTTGGTCTAATGCACCATTAAACCACAGCAGGTTGAGTGTTACATTTCATTACATTTTGAATTGCTTCACTTGTCACAATTACAGGTTATGGCAAAATCCTGCCAGAGTGTAGCAGGATCAAGGACAGGAAGTCAAAATCAAGGTGAGACCAGTCTATGAAGCAAATGAGGGCTAAAAAAAACCACAAACCGTAAAAGCAGACAGACTTTAGTAACAAGATTCATTAGATAAACTAACTGCTTCTATCTTTATATAGAAAGGTGTGAAAATATCCTAAACCAATGTAGTTTTAAAATAAAAATGTTGAGCAAATTTAGAACTAAAATTACCACACCGTGGTTATCTGCCTTTGCCGATCAGTGCAGTTCAGTAAACGTACATTTATTTCCCCAGATTAATGAGGTCACCATGACCTTTGACCACTAAAATCTAATCAGTTGATCTGTAAATCCAAGTGAAAAGATTCCCTGGAGGTGTTCAACACATTTTTGTGCATTTTGTGAGGTCACAGAGACCTTGACCTTTGACCACCAAATTCTTATCATTTCATCCCGACAAATGTGAAGGAAATCTCACAAAGCGTTCTTGAGATATTGTGTTCACCAGAATAGGACGGACAGATGGACAACCTGCAAACATTAAGCCTCTGGCTGCCGCTGGTGCAGAGGCTTAAGAAGTATTTCAGAATTTTTCAGGATTCCATAAAAACATTTCGTGCATACAGTCATCTGCTGCATTGAAGAGATTCCTCACTGTGAATGTAGCAGATACCACCTGACGGTGCAGATTAAGACACTGACCCTGATTGGTGCAGTTTGCATGCGTCTCGTCGCTGTAGTCCCCGCAGTCATTATCTCCATCGCAGGTCCAGTAATCCGGTATGCAGCGGCCGCTATTGCATTTGAACTGAGCGCTGGAGCAGGAGTGACTACAGCCTGCCTCATCACTGTTGTCCCCACAGTCATTATCTGAAAAACAAACACAGTCAAACAACACCCACACTCTCACAGTGCACCACTGCCTCAGAGGGAAAGAAATAGTGTATCAATTTGCAGAAAGTAATTACTTCTTCTTTTTACAATTAACACAGTGAAAGTGACTATGAAATACAAATGACAGAATGTGAGAGATGAGAGTTCAAATAATGACAGAAACTGCATAGATCACACCATGCACCATGAGGGAATGTACCCAGCTGATACATTAAGCTTGGCAGCAGAGCTTCAGAAGCACTTTAATGTCCAAATATGAATGTTAATGTTGAGATCTTACAGTAGTTCATTATAGCTATTATTGAAATAAATCTAAGTTCTGTAGATAAACTCCTATGATCATTAAACTTGCATCCAATTAAATCTACTCAAGTTTCAATAATTTAATTGCCAACACTGCAAATGCAATTTGAGTTTTCTGTGTATTTAGCTGACTGAGTAATGCATTTCATTTTGTTTCAGACCTGTGTGCAGCAGAATAAATAAACGAATTGCAGCAGTTTTGGCCTCAGCTTGTGGCCACGTTCAATTAGCAGAAAAGCAGCACTGATCTCTCTCTGTTTCAACTCCTAAAGAGCTATAGGCTATAGCGTCATGGCCGTTTTGGTGCATGTTGATCTATGCACTAACCGGGCAGGTTTGGACAATGCAACTCATCAGAGCCGTCACCACAATCCTTTTCTGAAAGACAGAATCAATGGAAGACAGCAGAGTGGGCGAACGGCACAACACGGAACAAAACCAACAAACACATAACAACAACAAGGGCAGGAGAAAAGGTGAACACACACCAACATACAGGGGGACAATAAAAGAGGGGTGTGTGCCAATATGAGGCTGGGAGAAAAACATGCAGAGAAAAGTGTGACGCAGGGAAGCGAGGAGACGCTGAAGTAGAGGGAAATTAAAAGCAGACACTTACCATTATCACAGCGCCAGTTAATGTTGATGCAGCGTCCGTTGTTGCAGGTGAACTGGGTGAGGGGGAAACATGTGGGGTAGGCTGTGGACAGAACGAGAGGTCAGACATGTTTGTCTGCGTATGTCTCCTAAAATCTGCAAATGTCAAAAATGATCTTGACAATCACAAGTCACCCTTCAGCAGAGGTGGCAAAAGTACACACATTCTTCACACAAGTGGAATTACAGATACTTGTATGTCTACATATTTTTGCATAATATAACTAAGTATGTGTACTCTGCTACTTCCCACCTCTGCCCTACAGCTACTGTATATTGTGAGGATAAGTTGACAAACCACAGGAGGCGGGTTCGTCCGACCGATCTCCACAGTCATCGTCAAGGTCGCATGTCCACGAAAGAGGGATGCAGCGCCCACTAGCACACGAGTACTGATTGGGCGGGCAGGTACGAGCTAAAATAAAAGACGACACTCACGTCACATGTGAACAAAAATGGTCAGATTCTAGTGTGTGGGTACTTTTGTCTGCGTACCTGAGCAGGTGGTGTTAGACTCGTCCTCGTCGTTCCCACAGTCATTGTCGCCGTCGCACAGCCAGCGCAGAGGGATGCAGCGGTTGTTCTTGCACTTAAATCTGTCTGTGGGGCAAGTGTGCTGGTCTGGAAGAGAAGAAAGGACGCATTGAATGTCAAGAGGGGAAACGGAGGGAAAGGGAGAAGACATGTGAGGGTGGTGAGGAATGAAAAGGTGAAAGAGTGGAGAGTCGTGACGCTGTGGCAGATATTCTAGCTGCGTTGGACTGGATTTCTGTTTTTGTCAGGAATGGGAACGTGTCTGTGCTTTGACCACAGACAGACAGACATGCAGACAGAGAGATTTTCCAGATTCACAGACTCTGCTACATTCCTCCTCGTACATAAACTCACACACTGTGTACTCGCATACACACACAATTTGTGCATATAAACACACACGCACAATTTAGATTCCGCTCTCTCATTTCATTGTTGGCGTCACCAGGCTGTCAAATTCAGACTGCCAGAGGTCATTTGACTCTGTCCCAACAAGAGTATGGAGTTTCTTTCCTCTTTGTATTCAAGAGCGTGGTCTTTCATTTTGAGAGCATTATTTCTTCATTTCACATTCAGATTTGGAAATGCGTCTCCTAAAAACCATGCACTCGCTCTCAGATAGTCTCTGTTAGTGTGTAACTAAATCTGTTTGTCTGCACCCAGAGTCCTTCTCATCGCAGCCAGGCTGCTACTGTGCCCTCGAGGAACTTCTGCTCTCAGATTTCTCCATCTTGATCTCGTCTGGATTTTGTTTTTGTGAAATGATCCTGTCAAAATGACCAAACCAATAGAGAGGTATTATGTCTATCAATGAAATAGTCACTGTTTCATTGTAGGTAAGTTCACTTTATATGTGTGTGTTAAAACCTCTCTGACACAAAAATGAGCTGGTATATGCAGGTTTCTTAAATGCAAGTAAATGCACTAAAAAAGGCTTAAACATCGACAGTAGGAGTTTGGGTTTCTTTTTTTCCCTCATTTTTAACGTCACAAACGCACCAACAACTGATGCACTCTCTCACCTCGCTCTCTTGCAAATTAGCATGTTCACCTGTGTGTCTGGTTTCCATCACAACCGATCAGAGCCTGAACTAATAAATAACTACTGTTCATTTGACCCAGGAAGGAAGGTCGATCGTATCTATTACTATTGCATATAAAAGGCCAGATGTTATTGGGAGTTTGTGGGTTTTTGACCAGTGGAAAAGGGGCTTTAGAGTCTGGACACCAAGACCAACCTGTCAGATCAGGTCCAGATGGACGGGGCTGGGTTTGTACAAAAAGTTGGAAATTATATTGTGGTTCAGGAAAACAAACAGAATGCCTGTCAGGTTTAGGTTGGGCTCCGTTAGTTTTGTCCTGGGCTTGGTCGGATTCCTTTGTGGACTGATCCTCACTCTTCTGCGCGTTTGTGTGTGTTTAACTCACGGCACAGCTCAGGAGCCTCATCACTGTTGTCCAGACAGTCATTGTCTCCGTCACACTTCCAGCGCTCCTGGATGCAGCGGTTGTTCTTGCAGGCAAACTCTCCAGGCTGGCACTGAGGAGGGGGCACGTAGGACGGGTTGGCTGTGGAGGGAGAAGTGGAGGAATAACAGAATGTGAAAGAGCTCACAGGCAGGATAGAGTCTTTGATTTCAAAACGCTGCAAAGGGAAATGCAGGGGGGTTGTGGAAAAGAGCACTTGTAACTATAAAAAGTTTGCCCACCCATACAGATAAACCTGAGCTGACCAGCAGCTAAGTGAAATTCAAGACATACATGGGAAAGACAATTATGAGAGCAACAAATAGTTTGTTGATTTATATTGTGTCGTATTTGTCTTATATCTTATATCTATCTTTCTTTGACTTAAGTGGGGCTAGGCCACATAACAAGAACACCTTGATGCTCTGGCCCTCACACAGACTGTGTAACATTAAGCTGCTGTAATTGTGGTCTCCTCTGGTGTGTTCACACATACTCAGTCCCTGTCACACAGCTTGACTCATCTTGTCCACCATACTGGTAATAAAACTATGTAAATATACCTCCATGAGGAAAACATTTATTCATATTGGCCTTTCTCTTGCACTGTAGAGTTTAAAACTGTGCATTTCTAGTGCAGTTTGTTGCATGTTTATTCACAGTCTCTTATTGCATATATTTATTGTTTATTACAACATTCTATGGTGTTTTAATTTATATTAAGTGCTATGTGACTTTTGGACAGATTCTCTGTTAAATAAATGTAACTTACTGAATTCATTTCAAACACATAGACCTACAATGCATCATGTTTGTACCTTTGCAGCTGGTGTTGTCGGCTGGGTCTAATATCTGATCTTCTGCACAGGCACACTGTCTGCCTTCTGGTATGGCCAAACACAGACTGCTGCAGCCTCCGTTGTACACACGACATGCATTAGAGCCTGTGGATGAATGTACACATTTTTGTCATGGCTTCTGAACAAACGTACATAAATGGTTGAATAGAAGCCCGATCTCTGTGTGATGCGCCGCGCGTTACCTTGCTGCTGCTGAGCATCGTACATGCGGATTTCAAAGATGGGCGGTCGCTCATTGCGCAGCAGAGTAGCGGTGCTGGTTGTTGTATCCAACTTGAAAATGCTGCCGCTGCGGTACTCGTTCCAGAACAGGAAGTGTTTATAGTGGCACAGACCGAAGGCGTGGTTCAGTTCCTGACCTTCGTACACCGTCTGGTGATATGAGGAAAACAAAAAGATGGAAAAATGTGATTATGGTTATAAACCCTGCCTCCTCCATATTAGCAGATGGGACTTGGACCAAATTAAAAAGTCAAAGTACACTTAAATTAATTTTGTTCATTTTCCACTACGTATGGTTTTAATAAGTTATTTGAAGCTATTGGGGGGCGGGGGGACTTGCTATAGCGGCTCTATTACCCAATCATTACTGTGACTGTGGCTCTTAATGTGCATGTTCGTTTGCCGGATATTTCAGCTTCAGTTCTGGGCAGTGGGAGGACGTGTAGTTCGGACGTACATTTTTTTATAAAGTCTTTTATATAAATTAAAATTGCACTAGGTAAAGGCCTAACGAGTGTCTAAGCAATAGTGTTATAAAAAGCAGATCATAAATCTATGAGGCCCTAAAATAAAAATATCATGAAACAAAATATCATATTTAGCCACAAGGACTGACCAGTAGTTAGAAAACAGACCCTGACTGCATGGTGACGGACCACCCACAGCCTTCCACTGCTTTAAAGCTCATTCATAGCTGCTCTGAATAATATCCCGCTCTCACCCCAGTGAGCCGCTCCGTCTCTAGACTGCAGCAAAAGGATTCTGAACGATGGCGGACGGCTGACCTTGCGCTCTGAGCTGTTGAGATAGACCATCTCGATGCGGTCGTAAAAGGCGTCCACCCAGTAAAGGATGCCCTGTGGGATGTCCAGACTCAGGCCGTTGGGCCACAGCACAGTCTTGCTGGTCAGGAACACATTCCTGTTGGAGCCGTCCATCCACGCCCGCTCGATTTTGCCTCGCTTGCTCTCCTTGGGGTCCTCCTCCCAGTCCGTCCAGTACATCCACCTGAGGAGGCAACAGAGGGACTGGTGAGATGAGTGCACATCTGAGATAGCAAAACTAAAAAAAAGGAGTAAAGTTTGTTGGAACATCTTGAAGAAAAACCTGGTATTGACAGAGGCACATCTAAGCTGCCCTCATTTAATCTGCCCACAGGCCGAACCAGTGTCACCAGGTACTTCAGGAAGAGTCAATCTCCACCTGATCTCAGCTTAGCCTGTGAGCACTGCAGCTCTGACAAGCTACATTAAGCAAAACTCTAAACGTCCTCCCCTCTGCTGGAATATGACTGACATTAGCATTAACTTTTCATGCTTCCTTCTCCATCTGCCTCTTCTTCTCCTTTTCTGCAAAGTCCTACCTCCTCCTCCTGCCTCTTTTCCTCTCTCAACCTGATTGATAACAGGCATTAGTGCAGGCAAGTGTCTTTCCTCTGAGGATTGTGTGGACACACACCACCCTGTCTCTTGCAATCCACAGCGTGTGTGTTTATGAGCAAGTGTTTTTCAGAGAGAGAGAGAGAGAGAGAGAGAGAGGAGGTCATATCAATAAGTGAGTTCTTTTCACAGCAAAGATTCAGAGCAATTTGAAAGAGTGAGACAGAGATATACCTACATGTTAATAAGCTTGTGGAAATCTACCATTTAATGTGCAAGTGTCTCATCTGTTTGAATAAATAGCGAGTGATAAATATGGACGAAAGGGATTTTACATTTCAGGGTCAGAAAAACGCAGATAAAAATATTATTAATTGTTGTGAAGAGACAGTCATTGCAAGTAATAAAAGTAATGAAGAACTCTAACTGGAGAGATAAGTGAAACAGAGAGAGAAAGAGGGTGAAGAGAGATATGAGTTTGGTGAGAGGTGAGTCAGAGCTGCAAGATTATTTCATCTCAGCGATCACTCACTGTATATTGCACGGCCTCACAGACACACACTATCATACTTCATTAACCACCTCAACATCACCATCATTTCAAGTGCTGCCTCAATCTTGCACCTTTCTGCCGCCTTTTTCTCTACAGAGACAGTGAAAGTCCAGATTTTGTTTAATGATCTTCATCTTTTTTTCTGGAAGAAACAAAAACACACACCAAGCTTCATTGCTCCATGCATCGCACTTACCCGTGCAGAGGATCAACAACAATGGCCCGAGGGTGAGTCATTTTTCCTTCGATGAGGGTTTTGCGCGTCTGTGAAGCCTTTTCTAGCCGAGCCACGCTTATGGTTTTCTTGGGGCCGTCGTCCGTCCAGTACAAGTTGTCGGCCATCCAGTCCACAGCGATGCCCTCGACTGTGTGGATCCCTGAGACGCAAACACAAACTGTGAGTGAGAAGTCTGTTTCTGCAGCACAGATATGAACACCACTCACTCCAAATTGTTTGCCTAAGTCTTGCATAAATGAAAACCAAGAATTTAACTTTTTATAGTTTTAGGTTTAAGCCTTGATCTCATACTGGATCACTGCCTATTGATGCATATATAACCTTTTGAAAACATGTTTTTATTTGACTGGAAATGAGTGTGGTGCGATGAAACTCTTGATCTAAATAGTAATTAACATAAAACAGACAAATATGGTTCTGTTAACAAGGGTTTGAGCTTGTAAAATAAGTATAAAGCTTGTGGTTGTTTGTCTCCTCTTGTAAACCTGTAAAAAAAAAAAAACTAATTTACAGCCAAAATCTGAGCCAAATCCTCTAGTTGTAACTTAAATGCCTCCTTGCAAGAGTATATTCAGTGTCAAACACAGAGCGGAAAGTCTGAGTCATTGGTTTCACACAGTTTTCTGCCTTGGTTCTGTTGTCACACGATCAAAAAGTCTCTGCACCGACCTTCTTTCATAATAGTGTCCCTCTCCGTCCCGTCAATCTTCTGTCGTCCAATGATGTAGCTGGTGGCGTCGGCAAAGTAAATGAACTCGCTCTCAGAGTGGAAGTCCAGCGCTCTGGGGTTCATCAGGTTTTCTATGGGGATCATGTACTCATCTGGCACCTTGGCGTTCATGTCCATGCCCCTGATGACCCCTGGGCGACCTTTACCGTAGACCAGGAAGAGCTCGTGTTCGGGTTCTGCGGCAAAACAAGACATGGGAAATGGGTGTGACTTAGATCTGCATTTTTATGTCTAATTGTCTGTTAATTATAAAGTGTTTTGCTTTGATGACTTGACAACATACAAACTCAGCAGTAGCCCTAAATGAAAATAAAGTGATTTTCAATGGAGAGACAGAGGAGTAAAGATCTCGTTAAATCAACCGTGTTGTTTTCAAGGACAGTCTCTTCTCTGACGGCGGATCAATATGAAGCTATTAATGGTTGATAGAATATTAAAAACACTTCTCGGGAACAAGCTGAATCAGGAAGACAGCTTTCCGCAGAGGTCGGTGGGGAGTTAGAGAGCCAGACTAAGTTATGGTGCAGCTCAGCTACTTTGTTCAGAGCTCTTTTCCAGTCTGCAGCTCAGGGGAGAAGTGCATCCATGATTCAAACCTTGGCTGCCCTTGGATTTTAGTTGCTCTAAGAAGAAGCTAGTAAGTGTGTTACTAACAGGCAAAAATCATTTATTTATTACCTTTACTAACAGAACGTCTTTGCTCAATTTCCAGTTTGTCTACTAATGTTTATTTAGCTAATTGCACCGTTTATCAGTTACTTTTTGCCACGGGAAGTTTTCAGGTGTT